AATGTAATCAAACCCCTAAAAAAATTATCCAAACGAGTGGTGCAATGCAATACACCTTACATTTCGGTTTTTTTCTCAAAAATCTATACACCTTATATCAAGGAACGGAGGGAGTATAATACAATGGAAAAGAGACCCGGGGGCCATAGGTTTCACTAATGGCTTCTCTCAAGATAGAATATCTTACGGTGGGTGAACAAATTACTGTTGAGCAATTGATAGAAAAGTGCATAGTTATGAGAATGTCTAGGCATGATCATGTATATAGGCATCACGTCCGTGACAAGTAGATCGAAACGATTCTGCATCTACTACTATTACTCCACACATCGACCGCGATCCAGCATGCATCTAGAGTATTAAGTTCATAAGAACAGAGAAACGCATTAAGAAAGATGACATGATGTAGAGGGATAAACTCAAGCAATATGATATAAACCCCATATTTTTATCCTCGATGGCAACAATACAATACGTGCCTTGCTGTCCCTGCTATCACTAGGAAAGGACACCGCAAGATTGAACCCAAAGCTAAGCACTTCTCCCATTGCAAGAAAGATCAATCTAGTAGGCTAAACCAAACTGATAATTTGAAGAGACTTGCAAAGATATCAAATCATACATATAAGAATTTAGAGAAGAATCAAATATTGTTCATAGATAAACTTGATCATAAAACCACAATTCATCGGATCTCGACAAACACACCGCAAAAAGTATTACATCAAACAGATCTCTAAGAAGATCGAGGAGAACTTTGTAGTGAGAATCAAAGAGAGAGAAGAAGCCATCTAGCTAATAACTATGGACCCGAAGGTCTGTGGTAAACTACTCACACATCATCGGAGAGGCTATGGTATTGATGTAGAAGCCCTCCGTGATCGATTCCCCTCCGGCGGAGCGCCGGAAAAGGCCCCAAGATGGGATCTCACAGGTACAGAAGGTTGCGGCGGTGGAAATAGGGTTTTGTGGTGCTCCTGGATGTTTTCAGGGTATATGAGTATATATAGGCGAAAGAAGTAGGTCGGTGGAGCCACGAGGGGCCCATGAGGTTGGGGGGCGCGCCTACCCCCCTGGGCGCGCCCTCCTACCTCATGGCCGCCTTGTGCTTCCTTGATGTCCACTCCAAGTCTCCTGGATTGCGTTTGTTCCAAAAACGATTCTCCCGAAGGTTTCATTCCGTTTAGACTCCGTTTGATATTCCTTTTCTGCAAACACTGAAATAGGCAAAAAAACAGCAATTTGCACTGGGCCTCCAGTTAATAGGTTAGTCCTAAAAATAATATAAAAGTGCATAGTAAATCCCATTAAACATCCAAAACAGATAATATAATAGCATGGAACAATCAAAAATTATAGATATGTTGGAGATGTATCAATGGCTTCACCAAGAGCTTCAAGTTTGATTCCAGGCCTCCACCAAATGCAAGCTGGCACCGAACTCCCTCACTTGAAGATTCTGAGTATTCATCTTCAGCTGCAACTGTTGTTGCGAATGTCGTCGACGAAGAAGATGATACCACTTTGTCGACCATGGCTACACTGCATCTCGACTCTACACCAGGCCCCTCTGCACCACCAAACTACAACACCGACCCTGGTCCTTCTGGAAACGAGTAGACGCTCTATGTCTTCAAAACTTTTTGGTCATTACTGACAAAAGGGGGAGAATCATATGAGTTGATAGTCTTCAAGCGGGTCCTTATGGGTGGTTGCATTATTTTGCCAAGTTTTACAACTCTCGTCTTTTGATACATTTGGTTCTTTGAGTTGTAACACTTAAACTTGATGGTCGTCTGCTACTTTTTCTGCTATTCTGTGTTGCGATGATAAATTCCGCATGAAGTCATTCTACAGACGTCCATTTGTCATTATGCATATCATTATCTTTCTATATGCATAATGTATTGTCTTCACACTTTGAAGTTGGCCTCCACAAAGCAAAACCTGCCATGTGCATTTGCATTCAAAAGAAAATCGTTTATATGCACATCTTCGGGGGGAGCCTCGTCATATGTATGTAGACAATACTCACAACACTAAACTTTCACATACTTTTATCCCCGTTGAAAACTTCAACTAGTTTGTCATCAATCACCAAAAAGGGGGAGATTGTAAGTGCATCTAGTGCCACCCCTAGTTGGTTTTGGAGTATTGACGACAAACTTGGTTGAGGGACTAATGTGTTTGTGAGAATTGCAGGATAACACAGGTAGTAGTCCCATATTGATTCGGTTTACCTATCAGAGATGACCCCTAAAAATGTGTGAAGACATTGAAGACAATGGTGGTCTGCGAAGATATTCACATTGAAGACTATGACAAGAGAAGACATCGCATGAAGACTATGCAGTGTGAAGACATAGTTGTTTCGTAGTTTCTTTTTATTCTTTGTTGAGTCATAGGAACCACCGTACTGTTAAGTGGGGTCCATGTGAACAAAGTCAGAGTGACTGAAGTGATGCTCAACCAAATCCTATGTCTTCGAGCGAAGACAATGAGTGCAAATCTTATCTAGAGCTGGATGAGTTAGCTTTGCTTGTAGCCCAAGCTATGTTGCCGCGTGTGTTTGAAATCTGACCGTTGGACACATGTCAGTTCCTTAGTGACCCAGGGTCATTTTGGACAAATCGGGTCGGGTTGCCTCCTGGCTATAAATAGCCCACCCCCTACACCATAAGTTGGTGGTTGCTCAGATTTAGTGCACGACTTTTTTTGTTTGAGAGCAACCCACCTCCGAAGCATTTAAGAGAGTAATCCTTGCGAGGACAAAGCCCAAAACACGCAGAGCCAAAGAGTGTTAGGCATCACTGAAGTCTTTTCTGTCCGCGTGATCTGAAGACTCATTACACTTGAGGACTGTGAATCCTCCAGCCGGTTATGCGTCGCGTTCTGAGCATCCGAGAGTCATTGTGGATTGCCAGTGAATGAAGTCTATGAAGGTTTGGAAGTCTCCCTTGAAGACTTACCAGAGTGATTGGGCGAGGATTAAGTGTTCTTAGCTCAAGGGGAATAAGGTGAAGACGCGGTCTTCAGAGTTGAATCTCAGCCTCCCTAACCAGACGTACAGTTGTCACAACAACTGGAACTGGTCCAACAAATCTTTTGTCCTCTCCGAGCAACTGGTTCTATCCTTCCTCTCTCTTTACTTACAGTTTGTCTTCGTGAAGTCTTTGCCCTCTTGTCTGATCTGATTGACTTCACAGTGTGAAGACTGTGTACTGTTTGGCTTCATACTATCTTCCATCCTGATCCATACTACCTAGCTGCTGATAGTCTTCGTGCTTTCACTACATTGCTTACTTGACTATAGCCTGTCTAGTGTAGTCTACCTTCTGCTGCATATCAACAGGTTCATTTCTATTGTTTGTCTTCAAAGCACTCATGTTTTGAAGACTTTCATAAAAATCACCTATTCACCCCCCTCTAGTCGAATACTAGCACTTTCAGTAAGTATTTGTACAAAACAAAGATAGAACTAGATATACAACAATTTACACCATATGTAACTAAGAAGATCAACAATCTCAACAATTTTAGTGAACAGAACAAAACTAGAGCATATGCAACCATAGATCCAGTCTAATGACAATATATTGTAGAGATTCACACAGACCAGAGAGGCAAACAATTAAATAGCGCCTGTGTCGCGGCGAAGATGACACCACCCTCATGATTCCACAAGATCATCCCAGCCCAAGCCGTACCATTTTCCTTCACAAAGCACCATCGACATTCAGTTTAGCATGATTTATAAGTTATAACAATATTAATTATCAAGAACTTTGTGGAAGTATCTTCATAAAAGTTTTATTGAAAACGTTTGCAATTCATACAAGTAGATAATAATAAATTGTGAATTGCACATGCCCCCGCTCATCTGTTCATTGTGCTATGTCAAGACATTTCTTTTTTGTTGTATTTGGGCAAAAACAGTTTCTCAAGAATGAGTGCGCTCAAGTGTTCGAACTTTTACCTGACCTAATGGCTTTTGTCTCAGGCCTGCTGCTACTACTACTACTTGAGATGTGGTAATGAGTTAATTACATGTTGAGTCTGTTGCGGCTATAAAGATTAATGAAAGAAATATAGTGTTTGTTCAGCTTGTACAAAGTTTCAGAGTTTGCTGCTATGCTATAAAGAAAGATATGTAGTGTTTGTTCAGCTTGTACAAATTTCATGCTGATGTGTTCATGGTACAGATTACATTTTGTTTAATAGAGTAATATGGTATTGGTACAAATTTGTTGTCCTTTATAAGTTTATTATGCACAAAGTGTTTGTAACAATATTGTGTTAGAGACAGGAGGTAGTACATATGGTTTGTTTATTTCAAATTATATATTTTTGTTACCATGCATGCATCAATTCAAATGTCAGTCACACAAGCTGGCTCTGGCTGCCAGAAATGTCACCCAGGATTTGTCCTGAGAGACAAGATCAACTATCCATGGCCTTAATTTTGAAGCAATCCCTGATCTCAATGCCCACTACTGCACATTGTAAATATCAAATGTACTATTATAATTATAATTTGAAAAAAAATGCATTCAGTGTTTGCTTATAAAAAGTATGCTAAATCTATTATATATAACTTGTTTGCATTTTTCTGTGGAGCAAAGCTGCAAAAAAAGATGACCTCAACAGGAAACAAGAGCAATCAAGTTCAAACACACCAAGAAACAAGCCAAAAATAAAGCATTTGCATACCAAACCACAGAGGAATCATTCGTTCAAAACGAGCAACCATAGCATTCCACCAACCAATTCCAATTCCGAATCACGGCAACAACTCATCATCACTAACAGCTCAACGGTTTCTCCCTTAACTTGCCTTGCCTTCCCTTCCCTTCCAAAAGGATAAGGATGAGGCTAGGTAAGGAAAGGTAGGGTAGGGAACACGCACGACAACATAAGGATATAGTAGATAGCCTAACACAGGACAGGAGCATAACGATAATCTCATAGGAGGCAGCCAGCCAGCATCCTCCTCTTTTAATCTACTTGGCCTCATGCTTGGCCTTGGAGTGCGAAGCTAGAGCGCCCTCACTGTTGAATGTCCTGCGCAAAATCAATCTAGTTAGCAACACAGCAAATCATCTAATATAACTGTCCAAACAGAAAAATAGCAACCTACTTGCTGCACGACTTGCACGCGACCGACCCTCCAGACTTGGGCGACTTCTCACTGGTTGCTGGGGTCTTGCCTGCCTTCTTGGCCGGGTGCGGAGTCGCCACATGGACAGCTCCCTTCTTGTCACCTGCAAACAAACAAAGGCCATCATCATTAGCAAACAACAAACAAACAAAGGCCACAGCTAGCATAACTGGTTGGTTACATTATATTCGTTCCAAGCCCACATGCATGTTAGAGCTCTCACCTGTCTTCTGGCCTGACGGTGTTGCAATCTTGGCCTTCTTGTCAGTAACAGGGGTCTTCAACACGCTTCCAGCCACCCTCTTCTTCCCAGTCTCTTGCTTCTGAATATATATAGCAGCATTGTGTCAGGTAACAAAACTAGCATCAGGAGGAAAAAAGAAAAATAAGAACAAACATACTACCTTGGGTGTTTCTTCTTCCTCCTCATCAGAGCTATCCTCGCTATCATCAGAGGAGTCATCGCCATCCTCACTGTCATCCTACAATAATATGTGACAAACAGCTTCAGTCAACCATAAATCAATACAAATCTACAATAATAATAGGTAGATTAACAATTTCAGCCAAGCATCAATTCATATGCATGTGTGTGTACCATAATAGGTAGATTAACAATTTCAGCCAAGCATCAATTCATATGCATATCGACCATAATAGGTGATTAACAATTTCAGTCAAGCATCAATCTATATGCATATCTACCACAATAGGTGAAAAACAATTTCAGTCAAGCATAAATAAATCTACACAAATCCAGAACAGGCCATATAATTAACATAAACAAAGTATGGGGTGTCAGTCAATTAACTCACAGAATCATCCTCCATGGGAATCAATGCTCCATCATCACCAGAGTCATCTTCGCTGTCATCCTCATCACTGTCATCATCATCATCGCTGTCATCATCCTTCTTAGATTTTCCCACATCCTTGGCAGCGGCCTTTGACTTTGAAGGCGCAGCAGTGTCAATCTTAACCTGCTTCTTCTGCTCCTTGGCTTCAGGTTTGCCTTGAAAAGGAAGAACAAAAATGCATTGGCAAGGGTCAACTCTCAATTTCCCCTGATGTTCCATCCAAGAGAGGTTTGCAAATGAATTAAGGAAGCACGAACTAGAAGCAAAGGAGAAATGTGCATACCATTTTCCTTGGTGAGTGCTGGAATGATCTTCTCTTCCTCCTCCTCAGAGTCATCCTCAGAATCAAAATCCATCGTGGAAGCAGGGGAAAAGGCAGGTCAAGGAAACAAGACTCAAGTAGCATAGCATCATATTAAACATGTATATGTGTACTAGACGAGTATAAAAAAGGATATTCATCTCCCTCGGCAGGCTGGAAAACCTTGTAGCCAGAGAAGAAGACGCTGGATGTCTTGGAATTGTGTGACAGCTCAAACTCCTTCTCGAAGACGAGGTCAAACTGGATCTGAGGGAACTTGTCGGTAGAGAGGGTCCCGATGGCTAGCTTCTGGTCGCCGATCTTGACGAACATGGTTGCCTTGTCATCCTTCTTGACTTCGCCAAGGGCACCCTGCCATGAAAACACACACATATATAAGAGGAACAGAAGAGATTAATAATGACCAACAAAATATTTCAATCATGAAGCAATACTATAATAGAATAGGTAGAGAAGAGAGTGAATAGAAAATGTTGAGCAGCAACATACCTGGGAGAGATGGAGGAAGTGGTCATCATCAGGTGAAACCTTGACGGACTGGTTAGGCTTAACCTCAAGGCCTGCACAGCACAGTACAAAGGGTAAATTACATACATACATACATACATACATACATACATACATACATACATACATACATACATACATAGCCAATGTGAGCTATTTTTCCATGAGGTGAGAAAGGTGATGCAATTTTAAATAGAGGGATGGATCAAGACGTGTTGAGAGACACTAGATAGATTGATTAAAAAAATAAAGGACTTGGGGTGGGCTGTGCAAGCAGAATCCATCCATCCATACAACAACAACAAGTAGCCAAGCACATGCATACATAGAGAAGAAAGCCTAGGTAGCTAGCTAGGGTTTGACCATGGCCCCATCCATCCATCCGCTAAACTAATCGTCACCAGAGTCTAATCTAATCTAGGCTAGTAGTAGGATGATATACAGCAGAACACGAACGAGCGAAGGAACAACCCCTAATCATGGCAGAGAGGGAGGGCGTTCAAGGAATGCTTACCCCAGAACTCCATGGCAACCGGCGGCGGCGGCGAGTCGGAGGAGGGGCGGCTCGTCTAGGGTTTAAGCCGACGGACGGACGGACGGACGGATGGATTTGGGGAATGGCTGACTGGGGCTGGGTGGTGGAGCGTACCCTTTTAAAAGGCCCAGTGCGGGCCATCGCCGTCCGATCATGCGCTCCGCGCCATCCTGGCCGTTCCTCCCTCCCTAACCTAGACGGTAGACGCGGCTGGACTGGACTCTATAGGTGGGCCGACTGCATGGGCTGCACTGCACTGCGTGGCCCTACTACTCCTTGGAGCATCAATCAATTTTTGAACTCACGAACCTTTTTACAAATTTGCAAACACTTTTTTGAATCCACGAATAGTTTTTGCATTATTTTTTATGCGAGAAAATTTCCGATCTATTCATCTTAAATCATCATGATACAATGAATACCGTAAATAATAAAAATTACATCCAGATCTGTAGACCACCTAGCAACAACTACAAGCACTGAGGCGAGCCGAAGGCGCGCCGCCGTCATTGCCCCTCCCTATCCGGAGTTGAACAAAACTTGTTGTAATAAACAGTCGAAAAGTCATCATGCTAAGACCTCATACGACCAGCACAGCAGAACAACAACTGTTGCGGATAAAGTGTAGCGTAGATCGAAAGGATCCAACCTGAAAACACAGAACGTATATGAACTACGACCAGATCCGAGCAAATTCATCAAGGACAGATCCGCCGGAGACACACCTCCACACATTATTTGAATCCCTGTACATTTTTTCAAATTAGAGTACAATTTTCCAATTAATGAACATGTTTTCCAAATTCCTGAACATTTTGGAAAAATCTAAGAACATTTTTCAACTTTGTGAGCAATATTTTAATCCAGGGTTTTTCTTAAAATCATGAATCTTTCTTGAAATTTGGAACTTATTTTTTGTCCCAAACATTTTTGAAATAATCATTAAACAAAAATAAAAACGATGAACAAAAAAGAAAGAAAAACAAGGGCGCCGGCCCAAAGTGCTCACGTGGGGTGAAGGTATCTGATTGCTCGCTATCCGCCGACCCACGCGGGACAGGAGCTCCCTCCAATTGAGCACTTGGATCGGGGAGCGCCTCTTCGAGTCTAAAGTTCACGAATTTGAGAGAAGATCGTGAATTTGAACAAATGTTCGTGCTTTTGAATAAAGTTTGCGAATTTTGAAAAGAAAAGAAAGAAAACTAAAAAAAAACTAGCCGAATAGGAAAACGATAGAAAACGGGACTAGGATTGCGCTGCTATTTTTCTTTAGCGTTAGAATTGCCACATACTCATTCCACCCTCAAACAAGTGTACAAATAGAAATGTAAAACAAAGTATGGAATGGAGTAAAAATGTATTGGGAAGATGTAAGCCACCATCAGTCTCCTCTTTAATTACCCCACCTTCATTGAGCTGAGTGCATGTAGAAAGTGAGGACACCATGTGTTAGGGCATCTCCAGCAGTTTGTTTATTAGCTTGTTGGTAAAATATGACATGTCATCAACCAACGTCTTAACATACAACTACTCCAATAGGTTGTATCTAGTTTGCCCAATAGGATGTGAGATAATAAATAAGGTGCTCTCTCATTCTACGTTCGAGCTTGTGCAAGGGGTGTTGGTTTATGTACATACAACCTTACTCTTTTTTCTCATTTATTTATTATATGACACATCATCAAAATTCTATGTGGCAAAGTCTACCAACAACTATCTTACAACCACTGAAGATGCCCTTAGATGTAATTGGCCTTGATTCCCGTGTGATGAAAGAGAAGCATTTTTCAGATTTGTTTATTTCTTTGTTTTTTTTTCTCCTTTTGTGTATTATTATACAAGAGCTCACCCTGTGTATTACAAAAATGTTCACCATATGTAACAAAATGTTTAGTGTGTATTTGAAAATTGCTCAACGTATATCACAAAAATGTTCAATGTGTATTTATATATCGTTCAGCGTATATTTACAAAACTGTTCAATGATGTATATTTAGTTCCTCTTAGTCCAAGTTTTTTTACCCTGTACCCCAAAAATCTTGTTCTAGTTTCATTATACTTTTTTTCCTGTCTGTTATGATTTTGGGGACTAAATTTATTTGTTTTCTTCATATTCATCAGGGATTCCGCATATTCAAGTGAATCTCAAGAAGGAATTTCTTGCCTTGGAATTTCAGCAACTTTAGTGGTACATTAACCTACTGTCACTGATATTACAAGAACTCTAGTTTTGCCACTGTGTTTTCTTCGCCCTTGAGTATGTTTTTTTTACCACAGTAACATAAAATATAGTTTTTACAGGTTCAGAGAAAGATGGATGAACAGATTTACAAGTGGACTGGAATATCAAATGCAAACAGAGACAACGAATATCCGCCCACTTGTGAAACTATTTTCTTTTTACAACATGCACTCCATTTTTGCTGCTAGTTGTGGCAAAACAATGTTTTTCCGGATACTTTTTTGTCTCTGAATATTGTTCAAGAAAACTAGATTCTACCATGCCCGTGGGCAACTTATAGATATATACACTGAACAATTAATATTTTTTTGCATATTCAAATTTCTCTTGAGTATACTAGAAAATATCTTGCTGCAAATTCATAAGAAGTTAATTTTCGTACAAATATTTAACAAATTCAGAACAAGACAAGACCTGAAACAGTCAGCAAACAATGGTACAAACAGTCACTTTTTACTACAATTTATATTGTACTAAAAATTGCTGATTCCTTCTCCTCTACAAAAGTCTGCACGTTAAGTGGTTCAGGAAACAATTTGGTTCACATTACCCAAACATTCCATTCAGGAAACAGACACATCTATCACTATCAGCGTTCGAGGGAATCTACGGGCCATGAAGAATAACTAACTAATGCATGCAAATTCAGACACACACTTTCAAACCAGGTCAGGTACTCAAGTCTTTCACCTTCTTCATTGCAAGCCAAGCGAAGCGAGCGAGTGAATCAACATCCCTGAAAGATACCACACAAGAAACATCAATCACCTAACAGCTATCAACATCCCCATGACACCGCAGAACCTAAACTAACATTCATTCATCCCATCTCATCTCATCTCATCTTTGCGACGAACCCTGGGTAGGTTAGGTGGTCTCACTTCTACTGGCTGACTGAGTCGGTCTTGTTGTCTGTTAATTAGGCCAGTCCTTCCTGATCTCAAAGCTGTACCTCATGTCCAGGTACACCTTCCCATCATCATCCACAAACTGCAACACCAACCAAAATCATTCTAGTGAGTCCACACATCTTTACTACGTACATATTAACCAACTCTGGTTGGTATGACAAAGATAGATAGATAGATAGATAGATAGATTCACTGCAACAAAATAGCTGCTACATACAGACTTCTACACAAATGTACCTTTAATCTGGCAGAATAGGAACCCCTTGCAAAGATGCCGCTCGGGGTGCTATCTTCCTCAGCCTTGTACGTGTAGGGCTCCTGCTGAGGGCTGAATGTCCCCAGCATCACCTTCTGGTTCTCCACTGCAAGCAAAACACCCAAAACAGCCAGGGACTCACTTAGAGCTATATATTTACTTATGATGATGGACAACATGCATGTATGTAGCTTCAAGAGGGGATATATATATATATATATATATATATATATATATATATATATATCATGTGCAGCATTCAGTCATGACTGTCATCACAATGGATCAATGGAGTCAAACAGTATGCATCCAACATATAACAACACTGTGGGCGCCTTCTTCCTTCAGAATTATTAATTATGGACCATTCTGCTGCCACACACAGCATTCAGCCGTCATAATTTTTTTTTGTTGAGACATATAGTTCAGTTAAGAATTGTTTCCTGACAATGGAAATGAGATCAAACCAAATCCACAGTGTTTAAACCCAGCATGTCGAGAGAGAGAGAGAGAGAGAGAGACAGCAGGTGTTTATTTCACCCATGTGACTGTTTCCTAATGACAACATATTACATATGCAGTGCAATCAAAACCTGCTAGAGATGCAGCAGCAAAGGCTAAGATGGAATTAAAAAAGGTTAAAACCAGCGGGTGGATTCGTTTAGTGTCGTGACTCGTGAGTGGAACAAAATACGGTCTCTCATAAGATGGTGAACAAATATGGAAATAAAGCTTTGATGGAACAGAACAGCAGGAACATATGACTTGGGATAACTAAAATATATAAACGACACCAAGCATGCCCAGAAGTCAAATCAGATAAGATGTGAATTCAACTCAGTGACAAATAAGCAGTGAGTTGAGGAGCAGATTCAGATCAAAGCAAGTATAGTATATCACTATCGGGAGGAGCTGGCATTGTTCAATCAAATTCTCGTTTTATGGAGGCACAGTTGCAGAGCATATACAACAAATTCTCATATTCAGCTCAACATTTGCTAATGTTATATTCTTGGGGTGTCTTCCTATTTTTGCAGGGATATATAATTCTCTTAAGGATTATTTATTTCCCAACAATGGAAATGAGACAAAATCCACAATGTTGAAACCCAGCATGTCTTGAGCGACAGCAGGCGTGTTTATTTTCACCTATGCTACTCTTCTTGTTGTCTTCATCATAATGTCAAAAGAATATACGCAATGTAACCGAAACCTGCTAGAGATGCAGCAGCCTAAGACGGAATTGAAAGTTAAAACCAGTGGATTCATTTTGTATCGTGAGTGGAACAATTATGTTGTCTCATAAGATGTTGAACAGACAAATACGGGAGTAAATCTTTGATGAAAATATTACTTGCGACTACATACATGCCTAGGTGTAATTGGATAAGGTGTGAATTCAATTCAGTGAGAAATAAGCAGGAAAATGCAAAGCAGGTTCAGATCAAAACAAGTATAGTGGTATATCGGAAGGAGCTGTCCATCTTCAAACAAACTCTCGTATTATGGAGGCACAGCTGCAGAGCATATATAAGCAACAAAGAGGATGGATAGATAGATATAACAATGCGCATAGATAGATACATTAGAGGTGTGTCTGTCGGTCTGTTTAAATAAATGGATAAGGTGTAGAAATAAGCAGTAAACTGTAACCCAGGTTCAGATCTGTGAAAAAAACAAGTATACTAGTAGAATATCTCAAGGAGCTGTCCTCATTTTTCAAACAAATTATAATTTACATACATATAATGTCGAAAGAATATATGCTGTGTAACCAAAACCTGCTAGAGATGCAGCAGCCTAAGATGGAATCGAAAGTTAAAACCAGTAGATTCATTTTGTATCGTGAGTGGAACAATTATGTTGTCTCATAAGATGTTGAAGAGACAAATACGGGAGTAAATCATTGATGAAACGGAATAGCAGGAAAATATTACTTGCGACTACATACATCACATGCCTAGATGTAATTGATAAGGTGTGTATTCAATTCAGTGATAGACAGATGGTGTGGCGCCATGGTACTTTATACAAATAAGCAGTAAACTGTAACCCAGATTCAGATCTGGTATATCTCAAGGAGCTGTCCTCCTTCTCCAAACAAATTATAATTTACGTATATGAGCAAGCAACGAAGAGGATGGATGGATGGATGGATATAATACCATGCAGCAGAGCACGTACATAGATAGATACTGTATACTAGAGGTGTGTTTATTTGTGTTTAATTTAAGGAGTTGTTTACATGGAAAGGAAAGGAAAGGAAAGGAAAGGAAAGGAAAGGAAGGAAGTGGTCACCTTTAACTCCGGTCTTCCAGACGGTGTGTGAGTACTTGAGACCGGACACGATGTTGTTGGAGACGGCGAAGGAGAAGCGGAAGCTGTATGCGCAGCCGTCCTTGAGCGCGAAGGCGTGGCCCTTGTCATCGGGCACGAAGGGTATCGGCAGAAGCAGGTCAGGCCTCCCTGGTGCGAGGATGGTGAGGTTGAGTATGGTCACCTCCGGTTCGACGGTCTCTGGACATAGCCGCCCGCAGCACGTAGGAACGGAACAGTGAGTCAGTGAGTCAGTCAGTCTCACAAACAGTGTGTCTACTCTAGTAGTGTGATAATAAAAAGATAAATTAGAGACAGGCAGCAGAGATGAGAGACATCATCCCTGCCAAGTGCTGTGCTGCTCTTGAGAAGGAAAAGCTGGTAACAAGTAGTAGCAGGGAAGAATTGTGTGACAGTGTTTTATAATTTAGTGTAATACTTATAGTGGAAGAAGAGAAAGAAGCGTGCATTTGCATTGCAGACAGGCAGGCATTGGGAGACAAGACATACTGGATACAGGTAGAGGTAGCAGTAGTGGAGTGGTGAGTGAGTGTGAGTTACCTGCTCCAAGGGCATGGAGGAGGTTTGTGGTGTGGACAGCATCTGGTCCGAGGAGCTGCTCCTTCCATCTACGGAGGCTCTCATCCTCCCCCTCCTCCTCCTCCTACAGTTACATTACATTGCATAGATCCATCCTTGTTCAGTTTCAGTTTGAGTTTGAGTTTGAGTATTACAAAGAAAGATGCAGGTGCAGATGCAGATCCATCCTTGTTCTACATTACATTACATTAGTATTCCTTCCTTATCCTTATGAAAAAGAAAGAAAGAAAGAAAGAATGCTTGCCTTGTGGAGGTGGAGAAGGTCCTTGAGGGGAACCTGAGGGCCCAGCGCCATCTTCACCGGAGCCATGTCTTGTTGGTCTTCCTCTTCTTCATCCTGCTCCTCCTCCTCCTCCTCCTCCTCCTCCTCCAGATGCAACGAGGAAGGAACGCTGACGCTGACGGAGACGGACGCTTCCTCCTCCTGCTGATCCATGTTCCCTCCCTGGATCGCCTCCTCTTCCCTCCCCTCCCCTCCCCTACACAGAAGCAAAATCGAATCTTGGACTTGGAAGCGCGCCGCGTGATTGATGGAGGGATTGATTGATTTGTGGGGAAGGAAAAGGGAAGGGGATGGGGATTTTTGCTCGGCAGCAGCAGGGTTGGGGTTGGGGTTGTTGCGCGAGTGAGATTTTAGCTCAACTTTTGTGAGAGGGAAGCCCATGGGTGGATGGATGGATGGATGGGATAGAAATAAATAAAACTTAGTTAGAGTAAAATGCACAACCGGTACTTGAACTTGCGAAGAAAACACGCTTTGGTCACTGGACTTTAAAATACGATCAATACGGTCACTCAATACGCCTACACATGATTATACGGTCACTGTTCACCGTACACCACTCGTCGCCGCTCCATTTGACCACTTGTTGACCAATCCAAGGCGACAGCTTGCGTTCGCGAGGGGTCTCCTGGGCTTTTTACAAGGAAACCCTTGACCGGCTCTGTAATTCCTCCAGGTCCTTGTCCATTCGGCTTCGATCATAACGAAAGGGGAGGAGGTAAAAGGGGAGGAGGGGAGGGCGATCATCGGCGGCACCGCACCACCACCGCCGGAGTCACCGCAGAAGGGCGAGAGCCGCCGCGCAGGCGTGTCGCATCTCATCGCTGGAGCTGTTTCGTCGCAATGTCGCATGTTCGTCGCGCCAATGGCGCTCCGCCGCCCAACTACAATAAGCCCTCACCTCGCCCCGCCATGGTTCTTGTGTTGTAAGCTATAGGGTCGAAATTTAGAGGTGGGCATTGTGGATGGTGTGTTTGTTAGTCAGATATGCCCATCTGTATTTTGGAGATTTGCCTAGGGTTTTCGACCATGATTTGGGGGTTTCAGCCTATAGGGTTTTGGGTTTGGAGAAGGTGGTTGTTTGTAGGTTATTTGGTGCTGAAAAGTGCTATATTTTGCTGCATGTTGAAGATGTTGGTTGTATAGGTGAATTAGATACTCAAAGGTGGTTTCTTACATCTATTTCTTGCAGATTATGTGGAACATAAATTCTGAAACTCTGTTGTGCTCTGTTTTGATGTATGCAGATAAGCGCAGCAGGAAGTTTTTAGTTCAGTTTAACCATGGTGGTTATTTCCTTGGGCAAGGTAGCAATCATTCATATGTCAATGGTCATCAACTGTGGTACGATGAAGTAGATGCAGATACTTGGTCTCCAATCATGGTTGAAAACCTTGTTAAAGAGATAGGATGGGAGATGGCAGGCAGGCTGAAGGTATATTATCGCATTCCCATTCTGTCAATCAATAGGAATGGGTTGAGGGAAATCAGAGGAGATAGTGACACAAATCAGATGCTCACATTTGTGTCAATTGGGCATTACTCATTTAGTTTGTACTTTGACCATGAGGACAGTTTGAATGCAAACTTGACAGAAGATGATGTGGTCAATTTCCCAATAAGGCAGCTACCTCAAGTGCTTAGTCCTTGCAAGAGTAAACCAAATGAGCCAGAAATTGCACATATTGATGTTGAGCCTGAAGATGCAAATGTGCCACACCCAATTCCTATACAGGTAGTGTATCCTCCAGAGCATGTAGAAGATGATGGTGTAAGCAACTATGTGTTTGCAAAAAGGAAAGCATATTATGTCAGTGAAGATGTAAGTGTGGAGGAGCCAGTTGTGATTCAGACAGCAAGAAATGGTTAAGATGATGATGTTGAAGGTCAAGGTGAAGGTGTTAGAGGAAGATATTGCAAAAGGAAAAACAAACAGTGCAACTCATCTGGAACAGCTAGTTATGAAATGGAAACAAATGAGAGTGATTCAGATGACTCTAACTTTGATCCTGGGGCCATAGTGGACAGTGATTATTGTTGGGGAACGTAGCAGAAATTCAAAATTTTCTACGCATCACCAAGATCAATCTATGGAGATTCTAGCAACAAGAGAGAGGGGAGTGTATCTTCATACCCTTGAAGATCGCGATGCGGAAGCGTTACAAGAACGCGGTCGGTGGAGTCGTTCACGAAGCGATTCAGATCGCGGCCGAATCCGATCTAAGCACCGAAGAACGGTGCCTCCGCGTTCAACACACGTGCAGTCCGGTGACGTCTCCCGTGCCTTGATCCAGCAAGGAGAGAGGGAGAGGTTGGGGAAGACTCCGTCCAGCAGCAGCACAACGACATGGTGGTGATGGAGGAGCATGGCATTCCAGCAGGGCTTCGCCAAGCACTGCGAGAGATGAGGAGGGAGAGGGGTAGGGCTGCGCCAGGAGAGGTGGAAACTCATGTGTCTGGCAGCTCCAAAACCCCCACTATTTATAGGAGGAGGGGAGGAGGGTGCGCCCCCTCTAGGGTTCCCACCCCTAGGGGGGCGGCAGCCCTAGATGGGATAGAGGGGGGCGGCCAAGAGGGGGAGAGAGGGGGGTGCGCCCTAGGGTGGGCCTTTAGGCCCATCTGCGCCTAGGGTTTCCCCTCTCCCCTCATAGCTGCGCCTTGGGCCTTGGTGGGAGGCGCACCAGCCCACTCTGGGGCTGGTCCCTTTCCACTCTAGGACCATGCAAGCCTTCGGGGCTGGTGGCCCCTCCCGGTGGACCCCCGGAACCCTTTCGGTGGTCCCGGTACATTACCGGTGACCCCCGAAATACTTCCGGTGGCCAAAACCTCACTTCCTATATATTATTCTTTACCTCCGGACCATTCCAGAACTCCTCGTGACGTCCGGGATCTCATCCGGGACTCCGAACAACATCACTAACCACATACAAACTTCCCTTATAACCCTAGCGTCATCGAACCTTAAGTGTGTAGACCCTACGGGTTCGGGAGTCATGCAGACATGACCGAGACAGCTCTCTGGCCAATAACCAACAACAGGATCTGGATACCCATGTTGGCTCCCACATGTTCCACGATGATCTCATCGGATGAACCACGATGTCAAGGATTCAAGCAATCCCGTATGCAATTCTCTTTGTCAATTGGTACGTTACTTGCCCGAGATTCGATCGTCGGTATCCCAATACCTCGTTCAATCTCGTTACCGGCAAGTCACTTTACTCATTCTGTAACGCATGATCCCGTGACTAACTACTTAGTCACATTGATCTCATTATGATGATGCATCACCGAGTTGGCCCAGAGATACCTCTCCGTCATACGGAGTGACAAATCCCAGTCTCGATTCGTGCCAACCCAACAGACACTTTCGGAGATACCTGTAGTGCACCTTTATAGCCACCCAGTTACATTGTGACGTTTGGTACACCCAAAGCACTCCTACGGTATTTGGGAGTTACACAATCTCATGGTCTAAGGAAATGATACTTGACATTAGAAAAGCTTTAGCAAACGAACTACACGATCTTGTGCTATGCTTAGGATTGGGTCTCGTCCATCACATCATTCTCCTAATGATGTGATCCCGTTATCAATGACATCCAATGTCCATGGTTAGGAAACCATGACCATCTGTTGATCAATGAGCTAGTCAACTAGAGGCTCACTAGGGACATGGTGTGGTCTATGTATTCACACATGTATTGTGGTTTCCGGTCAATACAATTATAGCATGAACAGTAGACAATTATCATGAACAAGGAAATACAATAACAACCATTTTATTATTGCCTCTAGGGCATATTTCCAACAGTCTCCCACTTGCACTAGAGTCAATAATCTAGTTCACATCACTATGTGATTGTAACGAGTCCAACACCCATTGGGTTTGATCATATCTCGCTTGTGAGAGAGGTTATTCGTCAATGGGTCTGAATCTTTCAGATCCGTGTGTGCTTTACAAATCTCTATGTCATCTCCTAGATGCAGCTACCACGCTCTATTTGGAGCTATTCCAAATAACTGTTCTACTATACGAATCTGGTTTACTACTCAGAATAATACGGATTAGTGTCAAAGTTTGCATCGGCGTAACCCTTTACGACGAACTCTTTTACCACCTCCATAATCGATAAAATTCCTTAGTCCACTAGTTACTAAGGATATGTTTGACCGTTGTCTTGTGATCCATTCCGATCATTCTTGTACCCCTTGACTGACTCATGGAAAGGCACACTTTAGGTGCGGTACACAGCATAGCATACTGTAGAGCCTATGTCTGAAGCATAGGGGACGACCTTCGTCCATTCTCTCTCTTATGCCATGGTCAGGTCTTGAGTCTTACTCAATACTCACACCTTATAACAAAGCCAAGAACTCCTTCTTTGCCGATCTATTTTGAACCCCTTCAAAATCTTGTCATGGTATGTATTTATTTGAAAGTACTATTAAGCGTTTTGATCTATCCTTATAGATCTTGATGCTCAATGTTCAAGTAGCTTAATCTAGGTTTTCCATTGAAAAACACTTTTCAAATACCCTATATGATTTCTAGAAATTCTATATCATTTCTGATCAACAATGCGTCAACAACATATACTCATCAAAAATTCTATGGTGCTCCCACTTCTTTGGAAATACAAGTTTCTCATAAACTTTGTATAAATCCAAAATCTTTGATCATCTCATCAAAGAGTATATTCCAACTCCGAGATGCTTACTCCAGTCCTTAGAAGGATTGCTGGAGCTTTGCGTACTTGTTAGCATCTTTCAGGATTGACAAAACCTTCTGGTTGTATCACATACAACCTTTCCTCAAGAATATCGTCGAGGAAACAATGTTTTGACATCCTATCTGCAAGATTTCATAAATCATGCAGTAATTGCTAATATAATTCCAACGGAATCTTAGCATCGCTATGAGTGAGAAAGTCTCATCGTAGTCAACTCCTTGAACTTGTCGGAAAACATCTTAACGACAAGTCGAGCTTTCTTAATGGTGATACTTACCATCATTGTCCGTCTTCCTTTTAAAATCCATCTGTACCCAACAGCCTTACGACCATCAAGTAGTTCTTCCAAAGTCTACACTTTGTTTTCATACATGGATCCTCTCTCGGATTTTATGGCCTCGAGACATTTGTCAGAATCCGGGCCCACCATTGCTTCTCCATAGCTCGTAGGTTCATTGTTGTCTAGCAACATGACCTCCAAGACAGGATTACCGTACCACTCTGAAGCAGTACGCGTCCTTGTCGTCCTATGAGGTTTGGTAGTGACTTGATCCGAAGTTTCATGATCATTATCATCAACTTCCACTTCAATTGGTATAGGTGCCACAGGAACAACTTCCTGTGCCCTGCTACACACTGGTTGAAGTG